GGACCGCGAGAAGAAAAGGTTGTTGAACGGCGTCTTGAACCTTAACGTCGTGTGGGTTCAAACGAGTAGCAAGAAGTTGGCCGAGCAGGGGAAGTTCAGTGTCAAGGAGATGGTCGACATAATAAAAATGGACCGGATTATGCTGAGGCTGTGGCACTACGTGGAGTTCGAGTACGAGGAAATGGATAAGCGGGAGTGGAATGCCAACTCCACGTTCTTCAAGTCCAAGAAGCAACTGTTGGAAGAGTTCAGGGACAAAGGTCTCGACGACAAGCTTTGGAACGAGACTAGGAATTTTTTTACGGACTCTACGTACATCAACAAGTGCCCTCAGTTTCTCGGGTGTCAACACGACAACAACATCAAGAGAACGGTGGCCCTCGTCAACGACCAGCATTTCCCGACGGAGTGGAAGCGTGTCGTCCTTTCGGTGATCACGGGAGATCGCGCCAAAGGCAAAAAATACCCTCGGGGTGTTGATGAATGCATCAACATTATGTGGACGAGGCCAAGCGCCTTGACGACGCTGGCCCAGTTTAATGTCGACCCATTGAGTGCCATAGATCATAAGGAGGCGCTGGAAAAACTAGGGCATCAGCTACGCTCCCACACTTGCGTGCTCGACTTGTGCGGAGCTGTGGACCGTGCGCAATGGGACTCTGGGGCATTCGCGTCTCTGAGTGAGTTGCTGGGCTTCGTTTGTCAAGACTACTGGATATTGGTGGTATTCGTCCCCTGCCTGTGGAACCTCTCCTTCATGACATATTTGTCTGCGCTTGGGGCCATCCGATGCTACACGGGGAAGTGGGTTCGGAAGATGGCAGCGAAGAAGACGCATCAGTTCGGAAACAGCGTCTGGGAGGAGGAGCCGGATGTGATGCACATCCTTTTCAAAGGCGAGGATCCTCAGCTACTGACTCACCCGATGTACGAGGGAGCTGTTGCTGAAGACGACGCCACCGCTCTCCGTAGGAAACAGAAAGTGACACCTACGGATGTGGAGGAGAAGTCTTTCAAGTCCTTGACTTCCGCGGACATCGGAAACCTCACCCAGAGAGGGGCTTTGTACAAGGACGGCGAGCAGAATCCGAATCAGTTATGCAATCAGCTTCTTTTCTTCTGTGGTGTGGCGGATGCCGTGCTATTCTTGGGCAAGCCGCACGCGCAGGTGGTGTGGAGTCTGCTTCAGCAGGGAAGGCACGTCTTGGCCGTGGATGGGGACACAACGCAGCTCGAATGCACCGTGCAGTATGTCACCCATGAAGTGTCGTCCAAGGCTTACCCATGCGATTTCCACCACGTCGTGGTCGGGCCCGTTTATGACCCGAACAAGGACATGTTCTTCAAGTTGACTCCGAAGAAAAGGCGCCAGGTCTACTCCTTCCTTTACGGCGAACAACCAAGGTTGAGATTTGACCCGTAGTACGTGGTGCGGAAGGAAGTCGCCATTGCGGTCCTCCAGGGCTACCACGGAGCGAGTCGGGCCGGCGCTGTGAGCTTCATTAAGAGGCTGGAATATGTGTTTTTTAACGAGAATGTTGTCGATCCGGCCGACTTCACTTTGGATAACTACAAGCTGGCATTCGGTGAGGAGGATGACTTCAATATCGAGACTGAGCAGGAGGAGAGCGTTGAGGACGATCTCTTCGATTTGAACGGGCAATTGGCCATCTTCAACGCCCAAGTTTCTGAGTCGCCGTCAGTATGCAAATCGGGGACACCTCTCGCTACACCCACCTCGGGCGGCCCCACGCCCTTGTCCTCCTCAGCACCTGTCAAGAGGGGTGGGTTGTCCCATCTGAGGAGTTCGCCGGGGGAGCCTATTCGTCTCACACCGCAGCCCGAACGTCTTCGACCCGGCCATCCAGTTCCTCCGGACCATCCGCATCTCGCAGCTCCTACAAATCCCTACCACGTGGGCGACAAACACACCTTCTCCACAGCCGAAGATTGGGGCCATGATATCGTGTGGCACCCAGACCATTTCCAGCCAGTCCTTCTCGACGGCGAATGGGCAGTGGCTGTGAGGGACGTAAGTGGAGGGTGGATATATGGCGATCGTTGGGACCTCGAGACATTCAAATCTCGCGCCTACAATGCGGTATTGGAGAGATTAAGTGAGGTCAATCGACGAAGTAAGGACGACCCTGCTCTGCGCGAATACGAGAACACGCTGTTCGATTTATTGCAGTCAAATAAATGGCTGGAAGTGTCCTCCGCGTTCTACGCCCTTCCGTCAAGCCCGTCAATTAAGCAAGTGAGTTGGGAGTTGCCTGCGGCCCTGCGGGCACCCCGCCGACAGGAGTTGTGAAGCGCAAGTCTCGCGGAAAGGACGGCGAAGGGGATGGTGAAGGCGGCGGGCAACGAGGTACCGGAGGTGGAAGTGAACAGCGTTCAACGAAACAGCGGTCTCTGGGGCACTCAGGCGGCGGAGAGGGGAAAAAGGGCAGTCGGGAGAATGAAAAACCTCACAGCGGAGAGAAGACAAAGCATCACACAGGAGACGGGCAGGGGTCCGATGTTGACCGCGACGAGGACGGTGGGGTTTTGGCGGTGACAGGCAGCACCTCAATGGAGACGGGGAACGACGTCAGGCCTGGGTGGATTACACAGCCTGGCGAGCAGGACCCTGTGATTAGCTCCACCAGCGCAACACACTATACCGATGCTGTTGGTGGGGCAGTTGTAGCAAAGAATGGAACTTGCTTCGCTCAGCTCCAAAAACGTTTGGCCGATTGTCTCGGATATATCCGAACCTCGGAGACGACATCGTCGTCCGGAACTCAGTGCCTTCCGGGAAGCGAGACGACAACATACCACGGATCCGGCAGCGACAAGCTCCAACCATGTTCGGTTTCGCCTCAAAAGGAAGTTCGGATTAATCCGAACCCGGAAGCCAGTACCGTTGAGAGAGCACAGCGGTCTGCGGAACTCGAACGGGTGGTCCGGGTTTCCGAAAACCCTGGCGGCGAAATTCGGATTCATCCAAACCAGGAGGACGTGTCCGCCATGACAGACGACCGGTGTCAGGATACCGTCATGCTGTGCATGGAAGTCCACAAGGAGCTGCAGGCAGACTGTCCGACTGAGGGTGAGTTAGCGACCAGTTTCAATGTCGAGCCCCGCACACTCGGAGCCGAATGCCTGGTGACGGTACACACTGAGGTAGCAGTCTTAAGCGACTCTCCGGTGAAAGCGGACATGTCGTCGCCGTTGGAAACTGCGGTGGCTCGGATGAATCCGAACCAGGGCCCTGTGAGCATGTCCCTCCCTGGTGCAGCTTTGGAGACGACCGTAATTCAGGTTCATCCGAGACACACGGACGAAGGACTTGACGGTTGTCGACTTCTGACGACTTTGGACAAGGACGATTCCGCCGACGACCGGATTGATCCGACACTCGGCGACGTCGGGATGGAGCAACCAGTTCAGCCGGCATACGACGACCCCTTGTACTCCGGCCTTCACGACGAGGCGATGGGAGAGGACGTTTTGAAGAAGTCCTCTGACGCTGTTGGAGATAGATTTCTCTATTTGAGTGACGACGATAAAGACACACCGCACAAGGACAAGAAGTTAAGGGGGGGAGAGGTGTTGTTGGACATCCATGGGACCTTGAGCACAACACAATGCGACACAGTGGCGACGGAGGAAACCCAACCTGTCGATGTTGTGGACGTCGACGCTCTTTGTTCGGAGACAGACAGACTAAAATTTCCCGTCGCGGACGTGGAGGATTTCCGCCATCGGGATGGGGATGGATTCATGCCGTCGTCGGTCATCGATGCCGACATCTTGAACCTGTCAAGTTTCCCTGTGAGTTTGGAGTACGTCGTCGCCGCGTCGACGTGCACGGGGGCGCCAATTGTGTTGGGACTGCCATCGGTGGGCTCTGGTGACGTTGAAGCTAAGCCTGGTGAGCATTGTCTTCCTTTGCTTGCTTCCCGCTCGTCAGCCCGTTCGTGAAGTGTTGTTTGCTTCGTCGATTTCGGGGAGGTGTGTACGAGGCCGCCAACTGGATTTGACGATGTGCTTCGTGAGGTGCTGTTTGCTTGGTTGCTCTTGCGAAGTTGTGTTGTTGATCTCCTGCTGAACTGTTTGGGTGGCTATTTCTTGTACAGGTCGACGAGCTCGTGGACAAACACACATGTCGCAGGAGCCGCCTGCTCTCACCAGGTTGTCAGTCCTAGTTGCGGGAGGCACTGGTCGTCGCAATGTCACTGATTCGTTTCCTGGGGAGACTAAACCTCGGGGCCCTCCCAGAAGGGTTGTCGTGCCCGTATTGGGCCCTCGCGCTAGACTCGTTGCAGAGGCAGCGCACACACACATACACACACACACACACACACACACACACACACACACACACACATACACACACACACACACACACACACACACAGAGAAAGAGAGAGAGAGAGTATTGTGTGTGTGTGGGGGGGAGAGAAAGAGAGAGAGAGAGAGAGTTTGTGTGTGTGTGTGTGTGTGTGTGTGTGTGTGTGTGTGTGTGTGTGTGTGTGTGTGCG